ATTGTTATAAAAAAATATCTAAACAAAATCTCAATTAGGAAAAAAAAAAGATTGGAAGCCAGTTCAGGACAACCTGCAAATCAAATACACAGTCCATTCACAACAAGCTCCATATACCTCCATTCAGACAATTAAATGATGACTCAAGCAAGTGTTAAATACATGTGAAATTCCCTGTTCCATTTACCAGCTGTTATGAAAGTAAAAAAAAAAAGATGAACAATAACAGCATCAATAATAATTCCATGCAAAAAAAAAAGATACTGGTCCTTTATATTTAATACAAAAGAAACGATGACTAACATATTCATGCTCATCTTCGAGTGGTCCCATGGATATTATTCTGCTTAGCACTCACCGGTTGATTTTTTTTTTTTTTTCAAAGTACAGTACGGCATTATTTTCAAGAAGTGACACCTAAAAAAATGTGTCATAAAAGCAAAATACAAACATGTCACACGCACAAAAAAGCAAAAAAAAATTTTTTTTTTTTTTAAACAAACCACAAAAATTGTATTTTCTAAAACTTCCACAATATAACAGTATAATATAACAATAAATTAAAAACAATCATCAGTATTAGAGTAGGATCCTCACTATTACTCATGAGTGAGGGATGCAGTCTGTGAAGCACTGCAGACACAGGTCACAGACTGCAAACGTAAACTGAGTAACGTTTATGACTTCCTCGTACCACTGTAGTTTTGCTGGATTTATGATGTTCAACTTAGCTGCTGTTTACATGACACAGTGAGCCTGTTGAAGTCCTTAAATGATATAATTATCAAATAGAAAAGAGTCTGATATGTACATTATGCACCAATATATTCATCTAAGATGCCATGTCACTCGTACTTTTATCACATTCATTCTTTCCTTTCTTTTGCTTTACAAACCTAAAAGCAATGAATATAAAGATTATTATAAACCAGATGTAAAGAAAACTATCCTTCTCAAAATATTACAGAATCAAAGAAAAATAAAAGTTACTTCCATCAAACACAAGCAAAAGATTACTTTGAAGACAGAGAGCTTAAGTTATCCAGAACTTCTTTCCTCAAAATGACATCCTCTACAGTGGCACTTGAACACCTTATGAACTAAACCTATAATTTATTTTATTTATTTTCTTTTAACAAATTCAAAAGTGGGAGACAGAAAGCAATGAGCACATGAATACTAAAAGAAAAAGAAGAAAAAAAAAAAGCAAACATCTTTGGATATGGGGAATTTGAAGGCATCAGGGAATTCCAAACAGAATCCATTCAGGACCAGTGCGAAATGCTCCTTCAGTGGGTCCTCTGTTCTATGGTTCTTTTCTGCAGAAGTTTCTCCAGTACTTGTCTGTGTATAGTTAAGTTAATATGGAAATCATTATAACACCTATATAAAAATGTGATCATGAAATCAAAATTTAAAAATAATGTATTTGAAAAGCATCATTGGTATTGTTTCAAAAATCTATGGTCGGTTATAATGTCATGATAACATTTGCTTTCTTCAAGTGTAACTCTTATGCCAGGCAAAAGACTGCCTCAAGCCCTTTTATATGTACAAGGGGAAGTCAGCTTTCCATAAATCATAGAGACAATGCACTATAACTTATAGTCTTCCTAAATAGAGCTATTCATTATATATTAAAATTCAATAGCTTTACTCTACACAACTAGACTTTTTTTTCTCAAAAATTCCCATCTCACAAATCAAATTTACTTCTATATTACATGAGCTTAAAATTTTCCACTGGGTAGAGATGAAAAGCTTATGCATATAAATTTAGCTTAACATATCAAATAAAACATTACTACCATCATATATGTATGTCTTGCCAGAGGCTAAATATCTGAGTAATTTCTAAAATGTTTATGTATTTTTTTGGATGGATATTGTGCTGCGGAATTCATTTCCTGTGACATCTACTATACAATAGAAAAAAAAAGACAAAGGTGGAGATTTGATAGATCTATTATTGACAGGGAGTAAAAAACTACGAAGTATGATCTTCTAACATGTAACATACATGGGCAAGTTTACAAATCACAGATGCATAGAAAGAATAGATGCTGACACATTAACTGTTCAAGAGACAGACTTAATATATTGTGGCAACGTGGGAATTTACTCTACTTTTTGGTCGCTCTACAAAGTAGCAAAACATAAATCTTTGACATATTATGATGCAATATAACCTTACCCTGCTCTGTATAAACCTTTTTTTTTGACATCCTACATCCTACTCTGCCAACTCCTTGAGTTACACTTCATCCCACAAAATCTGAGCATATTCAACACATGATGCTAAACAGCAGGGCCTGTCAGCAGGTAATAATCCCTTCCCTCAGACAGTCATGCCCACACTGTCCATCCTTAATTAGTCCGCAACAATCACAGGAAAAGCACACTTCTGCTCAGACTTTTCGGCCGTCCAACCCCTAGTGAGCAAGAGAGCCCATGGGAGGGGTGGGGGAAGAAGCGGCCACGGGTATCTCCGCTTCATGCT